GGGAAAGAGAAAAAGATTATTGATATTCCATCACAAATCAATTCTTCAGATTCACGGGACTAACTTATCAAGAACAAGTTAGCAATACATTCAGTTTTAAGAAATTCACATTAAATGTTTCCTGTTTAAAGGAAGGGTTATTGTTAAAATACAGTTTCTAAGTATGATTCATTTATTGTCTTTTAACACAGACCAAGGAGATTCTAGTTTGTTTTCACTACATAATTCTTTGTTCTGACCTGAAACTCAGTCAAATGAAGAACCCTGTCCCTTGGCACTTACTGACAGATCCTGACTTCCAAGCTCAGCAGTTTTTCCGTCTCATCCTGGGTTAGAAGTTAACCGAAGAGTAGCATTTAAGAGAGAAGGGAGTATTTCCCTTGCATTCCTCAAACCAACCTTTTTATCAGCTAGAGAAACCGTACAGCATAGTTTCAGCATTTGCCTTTTCTAATTTTGAGGTTTAACTTTCTAACACTAATCCAAGTCTGGTTTTGTAGTGCTCTGAAACAGTGGCAAGCCTGCATCTGTCCAAGATTTTTTAAAATTCAAAACTTTTACAATAATTTTAAGAAAAGATCAGACCCAGCAAAGAGGTGTGTTCCACATAGAAACTGAGCATATTCTACTAGTGTCTAGAAGTACATCTATGGAATTATTCTGCTTCTGGAAGTAAGTCTTCAAAACCAACTCTGCCTACCTGGAACGAACATGCCTTCACACCTACAAATAAAAAGAAGGTAGTTCTTCACACAACAGGTAAAAGTTGAGCTGCAGAGCTCCTTACTATAGGAAGTTACGGATTCCCCCAGCTTACATGGATTCCAGTCGCTTTTGGACAAGTTCATAGTAAAGAAATTCACTGACGTTTACTAAATAGGTAAAACCCATTCTTGGCTGCGAAGGCCCCAAAGCTGAGATTGGCTGGAGGCTGGGACACCAATACAGGGACTTGCTATGTATGTCTAGTCTTACACGCTGCGTTTGATCACCATCAGGTAGAAGATGCTCACCACATATAATGCCCTCAAAAGGTAAGCCTGCCATTAGTGAATGCAGCATGACACACTTCCTTCTGCACGTCTCTGCGCAGCAGAAAGCACTGCTCCCTCGGGGTGACCATACCGAAGAGAAAGAGTCTTCCTCTTCAAGTGATCCCACCCCATCAGTGAGATCATGTATGGCAGGCACTATCAATTGCGAGACTTTAGCCCTCAGATTTCCCTGGATATTTATTGCCTGGAGGAGTTAAAACCAAGTTAATTTAACTATGACTAGTGTTTATGCCCTCGTAGCACTCACAGCTGCAAACCTGCCCGCAGAACCTGTGCTTTAAGCAAGAGAAATCATTTTCTCAAATACAAAGATGGCAGAAGTTCAAGACAGCAGGAACTTACTGGAGCTGGGGCCGGGGGTGTGACAACGACACGACACTTTCTTTTCATATACACCATCTATCAGTCCATCAACCCAGAAAATTTTTGGGAATGCCAGAGAAAAGCTAGTCATTAAAGAGAAACCATGTAAAATCTTGGAAAGGAGACAGGGAATGTGAAGCAATTCCCTAAAGGAGCAGGCTGCTTTCTGTTACAGCCTTCTGTTAATATTCATAAAGTATTCAACTAGAACTGAAAAGTGAGCTTGGAACAACTAGACTTCATACAGTGTGCACGAAAAGGTACAGAAGAGTAACTCCTCATATATGCCAAGTTTCTGTAGCTACAAGCAATTAAGTCATTGAAATGCAGTCTGGAATAAAGTGATCAGTCTCACACATATGTCTTCAAATGGAAGGGGGTTTCTTCCACTTCAGCCATTTTCAGATATGAATTTTGGTTTCTAAGGAAAAGAACTTGTAAGAGAAAATCCATGTGCAATTTGTCATTTCTGTAACTTACTAGTATTTTACATTTCAAATAGCAAAATTTACAATTCTCATATGATTTGTATTTTAAATAATCTTTCTCAAGATAAATCGTATTTTAGTGCCTTTCATTCCAGCAATGTGAAAACAGATGCTTTAATCATCTGAAGCCACAGATCCAAGCCTGAAACAGACCACAGCAGCCTTAAGAGGGCACAGAAACCATATAAAGAAAAGAAGCATTTAAGAACAAACCCCAAACTTTAAGCAGAGTTTAGGCAAGTTCAGTACAATTGCCCAAGCTGGAAATTCTGGCAAAGAGACCGTTGCAGGAGCGGCGGCACTTCTGGAAGCGCCAAGAGAGCGGATGCGTGGGTGCTGGGGAGGTACTGGGCAGAGCACAGCTCCCCAGTCCTGCAGCACCTGGTTTCTCATCGCAGGCTTCCCAGCGCTCCCCAGCTGGGGAGTTAGAGCAGGTCCCTAGCACCAGCAGGAACCGAGTCTTTACAGCCTCCGCTGGGAAGGAAACTGCTTCACGCCCGGGTGAATTTAAGCAGCAACTACAAGACCCCACATACAGGCGAAAGGCAAATTCGCACAATCCCCCTCTCCTATGCACTAAATACACAGAGTAAACACAATCTCAACTCAGAGAAATGCATAGTTTTTATTTAGCCTTCCTCGTATCTCTCAGGTTTAAAAAGTAAAATAAACTCCTCAAACAGATATTCAGGCAATTTATTTATTTATGAAAATAAATAATCAAAAAGGGTGAAAAAAGATAAAAATAACAAATGTTTTTACATTCATACAGATATTTTGAAAGGTGCCATGCAATTCACTCTGGACACTCCAGCCCTTATTTCTCCACAAAGCATATGTTACACCAATGTAAATATTTTGACATAAAAGTGAACGCTTAGGTGACAAGACATAGTTCAGGCTTCACGAACTATGCATTCCTTAACTTCTACCAAAGGGGACATTTTGGCATCGGGACTGCTGGCCAGCAGGAGCGCACCACCACATTATGACCTTCAGCACCTGGTAAAACCCTGGATGTCAAAAAGTTTGGGTTTTTTTAAAATACTCTTTGGCCTAGGCTCCATTCCGAGCGGAGATCTGGCAGCGAAAGCTTTCACAGCACATCATAAACTACCTGAACTCTGTGGCCCTTTGTGAAAAGGATAAAGGAAGGGCAAATGCTTGGGGCAGTGGCAGGGAGCAAGTGCCGCTCGGCACCTGCCCTGCCACCCATCAGTAATTTGTCTGCTGCCAAGAAGGCCTCCATCCAGAAGTCTGAGCAGCTAAATAAAACACCGAGTGCAGGAGTTTTTAACATTAGCAATGTTGGTCATAGCCGCACTTGTACTACAGCCTGCTGTGTGCTGCTGCTGCTACTCGACTGCTGAAATCCTCAAAGGGATTCACCCAGGGCAGATTGACCCAAAGAGGCAGCAACTTACTGCAACAAAGTTCTTCCTCCCTTATTTGCGTGCCCAAATGCCACCTGCTGATTGATTTTTCAGTGCAAACTGCATCTGCCTTAGTATCACATTATGCCAATTAACTTGTTTTGACATTTTGGACTCCGATTAGGATTTAAAATTCCCCAAGTTTGGTCATTCCCAAAACTGAAACCAGAGGGTTAACCTGTAACTACCACAGCGGATGGAGTATGACCCCAGAACTACATAAGGGCCAGGAAATGAAGGTTAGTCTCACAAATATTCTTGTACAGCAATTTTAATCCATAACATCAAAAGAGAAGAATTTCCTTCAAGTCAAGTCCTTCAGTCTGGCAAAACCTGCATGGTCATAGCAAAAGCACATAAGCATGACAGACAGAACAAACAGGTTGCATCCTTAAATGACAAATTATTTCTCGTGAAATATAAAAGTTAGTCAAAAGTGCAATTCTGCCTTTCATGGGAAATTTTATTTCATGAAGAAATTTCTCAATCAAATACATTTAATTCCATAAAGTGAAAATATTCCATTATTAAATGAAACTGGAAAGTCAAAACGAGGCAGATCAGAAGTGAAATGTTTCCATTAAAAAAATCTGATGGAATAGATACATTTCTGCACAAATATTTGTAGTTAAAACAGGGTTTTCCAAGGGGAAGTTCTGACTAGCTGCATTAATAACCAGCCATTTCCTCCAGTGACTGAAATGGTAAAGACTACCTCTCCTTCACAACAGCCAAGTCTGTTAGCAAAGAGAGACCACAAAACTGCTAAATTAAAAGCCGTATCATCCAGCTTTCAAGACAAGAACAGGATCCACTGCACCACCACGCAAGTCACTGGTGTAAGCAGTGATACGCCTGGCTATGCAAGAAATCATTCTGCAAAACCCAACCCAGAACAAACCATAAAGCCATGTCTCAACAAAGTAATTCAAAAACATCCAACTAGGTGAAAAATAGGACTAAATAATAATTTGCAAAAATATTTTTGAAGATGTTGATATATTTGTAAAAGGAGGACACTATGCTAATTGATCCTTGACACTGAAAAGTAATAAAAACAAAGAAACAAAACATGTTTTGGGCAGAATAGTACTTAGGTGACTAGTGAATCAGAAAACTAATTAGGTGTTTAGAAATTAAAGTTCCATAATGTTTTAAAAGAAACAGCCAAAGGTTTCAGCAAATACAAACTGATGTGCTCTGACAAGATCACTCCACTGCCAAGATTTCCAGCATATGCTCTTTCAAAGCTCTCACTGAAACACAACACTGCTGAAACAAAACAAAAAAAAAGCTGGCAATTAGGAACAGTTTCATGAATGTGTTTATAGGCAGAAAACAGTAGAGGCACAATTGGCCACAAACTGTTGAAGTACAGAAATCCTCATGAAAAAAACAGTGCCTGTGCTGCAGAAAACGATCATGAAATTACAGAAGTATTCATTAGGCTGGCTGAAGAACAAAACCTTAGGAGTAGAGAGTTTTCACCTATGAATAGCAAAAAGGAAGAGCTGTAGAAGTGGTGTTTGCTGTAAACATGATTCAAGTAATATCCATTTCCAGAAACAAAGCAAAACCAAACAAATGTTTGCTAAGCTCAAATGAGAAGCCCAAAGGGACCCAATTTTACCACCTTTTGAGAGACTAATTCCAAGTGAAGGGCAGACCCTTTCCAAGCACATCGCCTTACAAGACTAAGCAGATGGAATTGCTGCATATAGCTGCAAGGGAAACATGTTCTACAACCAAAACCCACCATGCAACAGTAGGTTGGAAATCCTAAATATAAACACACCCAGGTGCTTATAATTTTACACACGGTGCCAAACGCCCTATTTTGACTATTCACTGTTGCTCAGGGTAAGGAGGGCAATCGGAACGGGAAGCCAAATGCCACCACACCAGCACCACAGGAAATTCCCAATTATCCCTAATTCAAGAATAGCACAGAGGACTACTCACATTTTCTTCAACTGAGCTGTCACGCAATATACGAGTAAATAACGCTGTAACTTGAAACAGGTTCTTTAGCTGTATCCACAGGCATAAACAAAACAGGCTTCCTGGAGCCAGGGATGCGTGGTGCTGAGGAGCACACCAGGGATCCTTGCTCATCTAAAACTGCTCAAGTGTTTTGTTTGCCTTCAGCCTAATTTCACTTAGGCAGAACCGAGGGGAATCAGAAGTAATTTCTGCACAGCCCTTGGCACGGGTCTTTCATTA